ATTTTATTATCTAGGTGATCACTTAATACAATTATAAATCTCATTAAAGATATTAATAAATATATTATTAAATAAACATACACAATTTTATTATTATATTTGATATCGTATTTCACATAATATTCATTCAATTCTTGATTCAATTCACGAAATAATTTTGAATTATATTTAATATACAAATACGAGACCAAACATGTTATGTATTGTATGACACATAACAACTTACACATTATCTGCACATAATTATCATCAGGGCGAAATGACATTAAAACGTATATTAATATAGATGTATATAATGTCACAAATACTCCGCTAAATATTTGCCGTATAATCTTATTTTCAATGTGAATACCATATATTTTTAGCAATAATCCAAACATGTTATATAATTTTTGTTAGAATATCCTATTGAACATGTAATTTTGAAATGTATTTAAGTTTAGTAAACGCACTTTATTAATAAAATATTTCTAAATATTTATATAAAAATCAATATTACTTTCTAAATCTCAAGAGATGTGAATTCACAATTTCACGATAAATGTCATACATATAATAATCAACTATACACTCGTTACATAGCAGTTAATAGTAGCAAGCATAACATACTTTTAACAGAATATTCTTTTAGAATTATTAACACTTAAAAGGTTTCCAATTATTTAATGTAAACATTTTTGAGCATATTTGATTTACTGAATGCAATGCAAACAAAGTACAGAATAAATTCATAGCAATTAACATTTAACTGAACTATTAATGCAATAAATCTTTTTATATATTATAAGAGCTTTTTCGGAGAATTTCAAAATTCTTTTGAATTTAACTTAAAATACAGTGTATGGCTATGGACAGTATAATATATTATAGCTATGGACAAGCAAAATTGGTCAAGGTCTTTTGATGATTACTTTTTTATCAACAGAAAAATACTTAAATCTTGAAATCAAATGTTAGGTATGTTATAATTTTTATATTAATGATAAATTAAATTTTATTTTTGCTTTAAAATAATTTTAAAACAATTTTATACAATTTATGAGCGTAATTGATTTTTTATGACAAAAATAATTAAACAAAAGATTAACAAGTATTAAAATTATTAAATAAATTTAAACAAAATTATGGTTAAAATTTAATATTTTAACAAGTAAATTGTTGATACATATCGTGTACAGTATGTATGATTTGTGTAATGAAGTTAAAAATTATAAAGATTTATATTATATATTTTCATTATAAATTTTTGTAAATAGATTGCATGGAAAATAAAAATCAGCTAGATATTTATTTTATAAAAAGACTTATAATTAGTACTTAATTGAAAACATTGAGATGTAAAATATAATTTAGTTTTGATTTTTAAAAATATATAATTAATACATTTATACAAAAAGATTTATTACAGTAATTTATAAAATGTAAATATTGATGAGGGCATTAAAGTTAACATGCTCAACCTTACAATGAAACAATGTGATTTTAATTGCACTATATTAATAATAATTGTATTATATTTTTAAAAAGTGCATGGTTGTCTGTGAGTACAATGAGGGTCATTGTACTTTCTTAAATAACTTGCTCAATTTTTAAGAAACCATATAAGTTATATTAATAGAGTCATTTTAACCTTAGCCTTAAAACAGTGTATTTAGATATAACATTAATGTAAATACAATTAAAATAATTATACAAAACATGAATACTAGTACACCAAACATATTATATGATTTTTGTTATAGTATTTTATTTCACATATTTTGAAATAAACTTAAGTTTAATATCCGCACTTTATATTATTAAATATTTTAAATATTTTTTTTTATAAAAATTTCAATTCACTAAATCTCATGAATTGGTATGAATTCAGAATTTTATGATATATGTCATGCATTTTGCAATCAACTACAACCTCATAACACATTAGTTAATACAATAGTAACAAGCATAGCATATTTTAAACAGAATATTCTTTAAGAATTTATTAACATTTAAAAAATTTCCAACTATTTAATGTATACATTTGTAACTACCGGTAATTATTTGCTACACTGAATGCAATGCAAACATATCACAGAATAGATTCATGTAAAGTAACATTTAACTGAACTTATAAAAGTTTTCTAAAAGTTTATATTATGTAACTGTATGAATTTGATAAATGTATAAATAATTTTTTTTGGAAATTTCAAAATACTTATACGTTTATATTTATAAACAACTTAGTCTGTTCATACTTTAACTGATTTATTTGTTTTTCTCATATTTATAATACTGTATTAATTAAAGGAAACTAATTAAACTAAATTGAATTGAATTGAAATAATGCGATAAAATATTTATTAAAAGTAAGATCAACAATACAATTTAGAATACGTAATAAAAATGGTAAATTACCAAAATTAATAATATAGTTGAAGGTGCTTTAACAAAGAAAAATACTGAAATCCTAACATGAACATTTTAGTTTGAAAAATTTTAAAATTTAAATTAGCTAAGCGCAAATATTGATTTTATAACAATGTTGTTTATAGTGGTGCCTGGTGAAGTAGAACCATGTCCATCAGTAGCAACTGGATGTTTTTGGATCTGAGCTCACTCGTAGGTAAATTGCCAATGGCTGAGTAGAGTCTGGGGAACTCCATCTGCCAAAATCCTTTTATCTAAAATTTTTAATAATATAATTTAAATTTATTATAAACTTATTAATAAAATAAGAATTACACAACTAATTAACATGCAAGATTAATATTATAATTTTGTTTAAATAAAATAAGCAGAACATTTAAGCTGCAATAAAAACCTATCATGGTTTAATTATAAATTATGCCGTCATCAACTTAAGATTATTGATTATTATACATGTTGCTAAAATAAACAGGCTCACTAACCATTACCAGCTCACTCACTATATACTAATTTCGGGATTGTCCGGGTCAAACCGGGACGTCTGGTCACTCTGATAATATGACTATAAATCATACCTTTTGATGGAAACCCACATAAAATGGGTGTGTAGTCGACCCCATAACGTAGTCCAGTGCCCCATATATGGTCTTCTCCTCGTCCTTCAACCTATTGATCAGATTGTCTTCAGTTCCGGTGATCTTAAACCGTTTGCCGCTCCTTAAAAGGGCCAACCGTTTGGACAAATGGCTATAACCGTTCACTTCGCCCATAAACTTCTGGACGACGGTGTGGTGCTCGAGGAAGTTGGCCGCGGTATCCACTGGCATGGCTTTGAACTGACTAAATACCCATGGTAGCATTTGCCTCACAAACGCGAATATATCCTCGTATAACATGATGGGCACCGTTAGCCCCTGGGGCAGGTACTCGGCCTCGGCTTTTCGCATAATGTCCCCGACCGGTAGGATTAGGGACAGGGCGTACCGTGCGATCTCATCATCCACAATTTGCTCGCCATATTGGGTCACATTATCCGCTTTGACTGTATTTTTGTTAATTATATTAAATATGCGAATTGTTAAAAATGTGACTAGACAATTGTTTATAACATAATCGTTTTGAAATATAATTCTATTTAGTAGCTATTAAATAATAAATAATGGTGATTTAAATTTTTCAAATATTATATGTGTTCAATAATTAAGCTACAGAGTATTAGTATCAATGAAATATTTTTATATTAAAACTAAACTTACCGATATCAATTGCTAAATAAATAGCCACAATTAAAGCGGTGTAGAATTTCATATTTAATAGACTTTATAAAAAAATTTTAATATAATAATTATGAATTTTATTCAATAACTACTGGAGCTAGGCAGTATACTTTTTTAAACATTACATCTCAGTTTATATACCATTTTTAAATCAGTATTTGATTTCATTGATTACTATTAGAAACATGTGTTTTTGAGTAATGGTTATATAAAATAATGAAATAGTTAGTATTGTCAGTAAAAATGATTTTTATTAATTATGATTGCCTGAACAAAACATGCACTTAATTATTACATGAACATTTATTACATAATTTATTGCTTAACATTATATAAGTAAACTTGTTAATACAAAATATAAAAATAATTTATAATGGTTGTGTGAACAAGTTGCAATTGTATTATACATTTCTATCCTGTTTACATTTAAGGATTAATTAGTTTAACATGCTGTAATTTTTACATTAAAAATTTAATTATATTTAATTTTTGATTCATAAACTAGACAATAAAATTAGACCAAGTAATAAAATAATTTTGGATTTAATTTTTCTAATAAATCAATATTTGTAGATACACATGTAGATATTTCTAATAATTTGCAAAATGTATCCAGGTGCAATATTTTTACATTTAAACTTTTGGGACAATCATGAGTACTGGAACAATGAGATGTTTCCCTGGTCATACGTGTTAAGTGAACCGGATTATTATAAATAACAGGTAGTGTCCAGGTTGAAATAAGTCTTTATTATGTATTACAGTAGTATTAATTTTTAAATAATGATACAATTAATAATGTTTAACGTTTATTTAATGTCTCATCACCAATTACATTTAATAAATTTTATCAGACATTGATTTAAAATATACAACAAACTCCATACAAACAAATATCATTATAAATAAATATTACTAACAATTAATAATTATAACATGATTACTATTATAATTAAAACATAGATATTATTAACATTATATAAGAAATACATAAATATTAAATTAATATTAAATTAATTACAATAATATACAATAAATATTTAACCTTGTTAATAACAATAAGTATATTATTTATATTTGGTAAATATTTTATGCAACTTTTGATAAAAATATATTTTCATGGAAACTTGCTTTAATAAATGGCTAAATCTTATTAGTTTGATACTCTAGTACCTTTTAATATTTTTATACAATTCATAGTAAATAACAATTATTGGCATAAACCAACTACTCGTATAATTACACAACATAGATATATTGTAATATATTTTCATATTAAAATATTCTTGTAACAATAACTCGCTAATAGTCTTATTACTAAACAATATATTCATTTTTAACGTACAGATAATAGCTACATAATAAAATACACAATAATGATGTTATAATTATATTTAATATTATATTTCACGTAATATTCACACAAATCCTTATTTAATTCAATGAGTAATTTTGAGTCAATACAAATACGATATTAAATACGACAGGAATTGTATAATCCGTAATGAGATTAAAAATAATTGAAAATAATATTCTGTTGCTTTAATTAACGACAAAATATATACGAAAATAGATGTGAATATTTTTATATAAATAGTGGTAAATATTTGCTTAATTATATTATAATTGCCGTGAAAATCGTAAGGAATTACAAAATATTCAAACATGATAAAATTATGTATTATTGCATAAATACAAAAAATAATTTATTAGTAGTGAAAATATTATTCCAATCAATTAAATATTAATACATGTATAATTAAAAATAATTTTTAATTAGCTAGGCGTGAATGTTAATTTTATAACAGTGTAGTTTATAGTTGTTTATAGTGGTGCCTGGTGAACAAGAACCGTGTCCATCAGTAGCAACTGGATGTTTTTGGATCTGAGCTCACTTGTAGGTAAATTGCCAATGGCTGAGTAGAGTCTGGGGAACTCCATCTGCCAAAAACCTTTTATCTAAAATTTTTAATAATATAATTTAATTTATTAATATATTTAATGATATAAATTTATAGAAACACTAAATTATTAATTAACAAAATAAGAATTATACAAACTATTAACATGCAAGATTAATATTATAATTTTGTATAAATAAAATGAATAAACATTTGAGCGCAATATAAATCTTATCATAAACTTAATTATAAACCATGCCGTCAACAATGTTGCTAAAATAAACAAGCTCACTAACTATGTCCTAATTTCGAGATAGTCCTGGGCAAACCGGGACGTCTGGTCACTCTAATAATATGATTAGAAATCATACCTTTTGATGGAAACCCACATAAAATGGGTGTGTAGTCGACCCGATAACGTAGTCCAGTAACCCATATATGGTTTTCTCCTCGTCCTTCAACCTATTGATCAGATTGTCTTCAGTTCCGGTGATCTTAAACCGTTTGCCGCTCCTTAAAAGGGCCAACCGTTTGGACAAATGGCTATAACCGGTCACTTCGCCCATAAACTTCTGGATGACGGTGTGGTGCTCGAGGAAGTTGGCGGCGGTATCCACTGGC